AGTATGCAATTAGGTTTAGATTGATTTTTGGTTTAGATTAATATTCGGTTTAGATTAATATTCGGTTTAAATTAATTTTTGGTTTAGTATGAAATTGGATGGCAATTTTGTAATACAATGTCTCCTAAAAACTTTACAAGTCTTTTTATACCTTTGTAAAATACAAAGGTTATTGTAGTTATTATTAAACTTTCCAAGGTTATGTTGATCCATTTCTCAAGGGAAGTTGATAAATATGACCTTGGAAAGTTAGTTAATAACTACAATAACTCTTGTAAATTCAAGTGGTTTAAACCGTTTTTTTTTTTCAATTTTTCCCTTATTTCTTTGGTGACAAAAAAACGTATTTACGAAAGTGTCATTAATGAACCGAGATAATAAGTCTACAACAGACGTTTTCAAAAACAAGTCTACAAGTAGAGAAAAACTTCTGAAAGGTTTGAGCCTCCAACTCTCTTTCTCAAAAAAGGGTCAACCTAATCCACAATATTTAACACTGATAATCATATTTATCAGCTTAATTTGTGCTCATAATTTTTCTCCAATGCATGAATAATATTACTTATGGATAAAAGCAGTTTAGTTCATAATTTAGTTGATGCATATGGAAAATGGTAACTATACGTATTTTCTTCAAAATCTATAAACTAACTTATTTTTTGTTTCTTTCAAAAACTTCCACAATTATGAGATTTTTTAGAACATTATTATAATATTAAAAAATACATCACACTACATAAAAATGATACAAAGAATATTTTTCCATTAATGATCAATTAATGTATCTCGAAATAAAAAATGAGCATTGTTGAGCTAAATTTATTTTATGTTATTTTAAATTTTAGTACTTTTTGGATAAATTTTAATTTTATTATAGTTTATGTTATTATATTTTCTATAATTCTATTTAAATAAATGTTATTTAAATTTTAATAGATAATTTTTAATTTATATAAATCATTATCAAAACAATAGAACTGTTAAAACTATTTAGCATTGAATGACTACTTTATAAATAAATAAAATATAATTGCAAAATAGAGTAGGAAATAAAACTATGATTGAGCAAATTTTATTTCAAAATATAATAACGTGTCAAATATGGAATGGTGCTGGTCTGTTGGATATGTTCCTATAGTTTCCTCAAAGTCAGAGAATACTTTTTTTTGTACAAGCGTTATGTGTATTTTAAAATGACATGTAACCTTTATATGTCATGAAATCCCTTCTAATCAATTTAAAATTTCTGATAATAAATTTGCGAAATCTTCTCAAATCTCAAATCATTTTAAAATTTCCTTAAATCCTTTTATATCAAAACTCCCTCAAATCATTCATTCAATGCTTATCCTGTATATTTAATCATAGATAATAGCCGTAAAAAAAATCATAGATATTCAAGTTTAAATAAAAATAACAAAATTAAAATGATGCAACAATGAGTAAAATATATGGGATCCTAAGAGAAAATCCATTGATATAAAAAATTAAAAAAAAAACAATGCACATATTTGAAACCTTAAAATTAAATCCAACATATATATAAAAACCACAACTGTTATATACTTCTATATTTCTTGTTTCTGCTCACTCTTAGGGCCTGATTGGTTCTCCCGCTACCACCCGCAAACGCAGCGTTTGCGGTTCGTAGCGGTTTTCGGCGGTTTATAACAATCACGACAACCGCTTTGAATCGCTCTATACCACTCTGTACCGCTCTATATCGCTGAAAATCAAAAGCTCCTTTCCGCAAGCGTTTGCGGTTGCGGTTGCGGGTGGATAATTAAAAAAAAAAAAAAAACACAAACTTATATAAAATCCGAAAATAAATAATAATATTTATTAAAAAATAAGATTTGGATAATAAAATCACAATATAAATAAAAAATTAGTACTTTTAGTCAATATTCATTAAAATCATATAATACTTATATATTTATAAGTTCTACAAATCAAAATTCTCTTCATAAATATTCTTTTCATACTAATACATATATATCTAATAAATAAAATTGTAAAATAAATTTAATTTTCACATTAAATATATATTTTGAAAATAAAATCACATTTTTATTTAAATTATAGAAATTAAAAGATAGACGTAAGTATTATACACATATTATTCTTTATAAAAAAATTATTTTTAATTATGTTGAACCATAAATTTAAAATTTTCATTATAAAATATTTTTATATTTTTGATATTTTTATAATTATATAATGTGTTTATATTATTAATTTATTGTTTAACCGCTATTGCATCCGCAAGTGAACCAGTCATAAGTAACCCGCAAACGCATCCATTTTCAATTGTTATGCCAGTCGTACAAACCGCTTAATAACGCTACTAATCACAACCGCCCGCTTCTGCAAACTCCCGCACCCGCAACCGCAACCGCAGCGGTTAAACCAGTCAGGCCCTTAAACTCTAACCATTTTTAAAGTGGAGGTAAATCATCAAGTTAATGTTCGTATTTGGAAAGTGTTGCATCCAGATCCTGAAGTTTATATCTAACTTCTTCAAACAACAATGAGGTAATTAAATATGAATTAACAAATCTTGGAAACAAATTCAAAATGGTATTTTTTATATTTTGCTTATTGTGTAAGTTGGTGATGAAAGTTGTGATTTTTGCCAAGAAAATGGTGAGAACAATGTAGTGTAACAAGTCTTAGAGTGAGCCCGTCTGTTCATTTAAACTGAATTCATCTCAGGAGGATGCGATTTTGCAATGTTTAGATGGAATTAAAATATTTCATCAAAACAATGCCAAATCGCATTCGCGTGAGATGAATGAACGTACGGTTCGCTTTAACTCTTGTGACACTACATTCTCACCGTTTTCTTGGCAAGAAACACAATCTTTATCACCAACCTACACAGGAGACAAAGTATTAAAAGATATCATTTTGACTCTATTTCCAAGATTTGTTAATTAATCTTTACTTGCTTCATTGTTGCTTTCAAGAAGTCTAGATATAAGCTTTAAGTTTCCTTCTCCTTCTGGATCTGGATGCAACGTAAATCCTCTCCACTCTCCACCCTTAATTTTTACTTGTTTTGTTTTGGTATTGATTGTACGGTTTGTGCTTTATATAATTTTGTTCGAACGGTTTGTACTTAATATAATTTTACTTTGGATTATTAGATACGTATTACCTGAGAACCAAATCCAATAACACTAAAATTCCTAGAGTAAAATCTCCACAAGCCAGAGACGAATCATGTCTTTGTCTCTGAAGAAGCTGAAAAAGTCATCACCACAACAATCAGATATGATATCATCACTTCCCTAATCAGATATGATATCATCACTTCCTGATGATATACTATTGATCTGCTTTGCACCAATTCAGGGGAAGTGACTGAAATCTCTTGGAGCTGGGGGAGATAGCCGGGTAGTACAATCTAGACTTGTGTGCAAAGCACATCAATAGTATATCATCAGGAAGTGATGATATATCATGTCTGATTGAGGAAGTGATGATATCATGTCTGATTGCTGTGGTGACGGCTTCTCCAGCTTCTTCAGAGACAAAGACATGATTCGTCTATGGCTTGTGGGGATTTTACTCTAGGAATTTGAGTGTTATTGGATTTGGTTCTCGGGTAATACTTATCTAATAATCCAAAGTAAAATTATATTAAGTACAAACCGTTCGAACAAAATTATATAAAGCACAAATTTTTCGATCAATACAAAACAAAACACGTAAAAATTATTTGCATGTATGTATCATACCATATATAAAGTTACTCTAAAACAAAAAAAGTTCCTTTTATGAGTATATCCATAGCTATGTGTAGTTTTGTTTTCTTTTATTTTGTTATCTCTGGATTATTATCATGTTAAAGCTTATTTTTGTTATATCATTGAAAAGTTTAACTTGTCATAAGCCAAGAAAAATCCACCGCTATTTGATCAGAACTACCATATCTTCTTCTCGACTCAAACTGTCATCGGAAGAGTGTCTGATGTGACAAAAAAACTATTCTACAATTTCTGGAGTTTCAAAGATGTGCTCGATGATGAAATCATCAAAAAACACCCATTATGTATGCATAACTATTTGATTTACTATCTTACTCTTATATAGTAGTGAATTTAAATATTTTCAGAATGTAATTTTGCATAAATTGTTGTTGTCGTTGATCTCATGGGTGTTATTGTTATCGTTGGGTTGGAAAAAACCCTAAAAAATGAGAAAGGATTGAGAAGTGCTGGAGAAAAGATTGAAAACCGGTACGCATATTATTCTTTTTCTTATATACAAAGATTGATTCTTTTCTAACCTCTTCTTATGTTTCTTTCAATTGGGTGTTTTAAAAATGTGTCGTTACCTTTTTATGAGATGTGAGTCATGTGACAATGAGGCAGCTCCATGGACCAGGTTTGATCTAACTTCTTAAGAAAGCTTATTTTAAATATCTTTCTTATTTAGAGTTTAACGATTTGATATACTCTACAACGATGAGCATAGAGATCGTCCAAGACCTTTGCCTAATATTCCAGAGCTTGAGATGACAAACTTGCTTGAGAGAAAGTAAGTTTAACCTAAAATACATCATGGATTTTGATGTAAGTTTAGCCTCTCTTTGTTTCCTCTTAGTATGATCAGATTTCAAGTCTTTGTCTCCTTGTTCGTCATATGTAATCTCTTCCATGTATGCTTACTTGGCCAGAGAGTTATGGATCATTGGAAATGGATGAAGCCTCCACTTGCTAGCCTAAAGGCAGTTAATGATTTGGATCCTATAAGGAGAGGAAGACTTTGAGGAAAGCCATAATGGCAACACAAACGAATACAGTGAGAGAAAAATTTAGGTTTGAGTCTCCAACTCTCTTTCTCAAAAAGGGTTAACCTAATACACTAATTCACACTGTTTAACACTGATAATCATATTTATCAGCTTAATATGTGGGGGTGCAAAACATGATGCATACTATCGTGCCAACACTAAGAAAATTTACGGTGCAGCCTTGCAAGATTGCGCAAGAATGAGCCTCAACAGTGCCAGGCCTGTATGGAAGATAGAGCAGATGCCAACGCCGCGCGTAATGAGCGACACTGTGATCCTCCCTAATGGAGAGATTCGATCTCTCTCCGACCTTGTTAATGGCATGAAAAAAGGAAGCTCTGGTTGGGGCTTAGGCAAAGATCCCAATCTCTCTCCGACCTTGTACATGCCTAGCAAACCTTTAGGCCAACGTTTCAAACTGCTCGCTGCTTCCACTATTCCCCGTGTGTACCACGCCATCGCCATCGCTCTACCTGACGGTAAAGTTCTCATCGGCGGCAGCAACACTAACGACGGTTACAAGTACAACGTTGAATACCCAACGGAGCTTCGCATTGAGAAATTCTCACCGCCTTATCTTGACCCGGCTCTTGCCAACATGAGACCAAAGATTGTGAACACCGCTACACCGAAACAGATCAGGTATGGACAAAGGTTTAACGTCAAGATCGAGCTTAAGCAAGAAAATGTGGCTATGTCAATGAACATGAGGTTACAATGTTGGCACCACCGTTTACTACACATGCTGTGTCAATGAACATGAGGTTGCTTTTGTTGGGTATTTTTGAAGTCAAGAAGGAGGTTGGTGATTTTCATCAGATTCAAGCTGTTGCTCCTCCAAGTGGAAACGTTGCTCCTCCTGCTTATTATCTTCTCTTTGCTGTCTACAATGGTGTCCCAAGCATTGGAGAATGGATTCAGATTGTTTGATTTTAGATTTTCTATGTATATATAGTTTTGATGGACAATATTTTTTATTTCGAATTCTTTTCCTCACCCATAACATTTTTGTAAGGCAAAACTTTGTTTTTTCCTACTCATGTAAAAAGTAAATTTTTGATTTTTCTAACTACTAAATTTGGGCTAAATGTTTTTTCTTGTGTGACACAAGCAAAGCAACGCTCCACAAGAACAAACACCAAATTAAAGACAATATGATCAATCTATATACAATTTATTTTTACACTTTAAAAGAAAATTTTGATGATCAAGGACAATATTTGATTTAGTGTTTTCAAGCTTTCTTTTTATAATCAAGCAACGTTTAATTTCTCCTTCTTAGGTCTGAAAAAATTGTGACATTTTGTTATAATATATGATGATGATGAATGATGTTAACAATGTATGATAATGATAAATGATCATCATTGCCAAACGCAGACGCGAATTCTTGCCTCTGTAACGGCAACACGAATGCGGCATCTATTTGTTGGTCAAATCTCACACTCACTGCTATTTTCTTGTCTCGCTTCTCTCATCAGACTCGGAAGATCCTCTATTTGAAACCTATCTTGATCTTTGTTTCTCTTTCTTAGCGTTTATACACTTGGCGTTTCCTTGTCTCTTAAGTTAGCTTGGAATTTCCTTGCCTCTTAACTCATAAGTTAGTAGAGCTCTTTGTGATTCAACTTCTTTAGGAAGCAAAAGCTGGATCCGTGTTAACAGTACGTACGATATCTTCAATTTTGCACAAGATTAATAACATAACTATCGAAGCTTTTGATTTGATCCAAAACTCATCAAATTTGATTACATTTCCCCTGTTAGTTGCCTGCCTTTTGTGGGTATTTACACTTATCCGCCTAGATCGCAAACACTTTCTGTTGAAAATATTTATTAAGTATGCAGTTACATTTTTGCTAAAAACAAATTTCAAAAAGGGTCAATTGGTAAGAGCAGGCAACTCCACGGCAAACCAATTGGATGGTGCCTCAATCTTTCGACTTCATAGACATCAACTCTACGTTTTCTGCTCATGGTAACTCATGCCCCAACCAGTTGACAATTTAATCTAATGATTTACACCTTTATATACTAAGACTACATATTTGATAACTACCGATGTGGGATTCAATTATTATTTCCGATTTTTTTGCCCACATTTATTTGTCTTGAGCCTCAAGTATCCTGATTTCCAAACTCTTACTTTGTCTCTTTTCTACGTCCTCTCGTTTCTCTCAGCGTTTCCTTGCCTCTTTTCTTCTGTTTCTGTTTTTATTACAACAGAAATGCAACAGGTATATATGCATGCTCAAATCATGTGACATATATATGAGATGAGTTTGTGGCATAGTATCAAACTAATGTATATATATATTTCTTTGACAGGATCATCTTAAACTGAGATTTCCGTGATTACACTCTCACTGATTTCTATGAAATCTGAAACTCTTATACAACATTGTAAATCAACAAAGAAAATATTGTCTTTGTTCATCATGATGTACATATGCTTTTTGATGTTCGGTGTGTGAAGGGTATGGTATGACCGAGACTTCATGTATCATCATTCATAAGCACTATGGATGAAGGTGACATTGTATCTGCAACAACAACGCATGCAAAATGCGGCATCTCTATCTTGATCCAATCTCACACTCGCTGCTCTCCTCCTTCTCTCACTTCTCTCTTCAGACTCAGAAGGATCCTCTCTCTTTGAAACCTATATTGATCTCTCTCATTTTTTTTTTGCTTCTTAGCGTTTATAGGACTCGGCGTTTCCTTGCCTCTCAAGTTATCAGACAGAGCTCTTTCTGATTCGACTTTAGCAAACAAATGCTGGATTGTGTTCTAAAGAACCGTATTCACAGTATAATAAGCTGAATGGTTCATTCTCCGTACCCTAGTTAAAAGAAATCAATGTACAATAACTTCGATTTCCAATAAGATTATAATAAAATTGTTAGACATAAATATCGATCGAAGCTTTTGATTCAAAACTCATCAAATTTGATTATATTTACCCTATAATATTTCCTTTTTCGGGCATTTCTTCCACAGTTATCCACCATAAATAACTAACACTTTCTGCATAAACTACAAAAAAAAGCAATAAGTATGGCTTTTAACTATGCAGGGAAATTTGAGTTCTGCGATCTTTTCTTCTCATCTTTTCCAACTTCCTTCTTTTCTTCTGTTTCTGTTTTTATCTTTCTTATTTTTGTTCTTCTCTTACGAGATTTCTATCTACAGTCATGAGACTCATGACAGATAAGAAACTTGAATTTGACTACGTTTAATATGATAATTCATATCTCGAACCAAACTTGTTTTTCGTTTTCATCCTTTAATAGACTAATACGCGTATACCAATTTGTTGTTGTTGTTGTTATAGTTTTAAACAAGCTCGAAAACAGTTTTATATTTGCGATTAATATTATAAAGTATAATCCAAATAACACCCATATTTTAATTCCAATTTGTTTGGTTAGCGATTGATTTTCAAACATATATTTTTACATCATACCATATGTCTATATATCCTTAACTCTTTTTGTTTACTCACCACTACATAGAACGGAAATGGACTCTGATTTTCCGCCACCGCTTTTTGCTAGATTCATTCTTCGTATATTAGGAAGATTTAGATGTTTAATAATAACTTAAGATGGAAGTCGAAATATGATAACCTTGGATTAATAGAGTGGTTTTTATTATAATGTTTAAAAAATAAATAAGATTTAGAATTATTAATTGGAAAGAAGAGGAAAAGTCATGTAACAATATCAATTAATGGATTGTTGATACAACGTGGAAGGTGAAACACTCGAAGGTTTTGAAACCTATAATGACTGCAACGATTAAAAATACGAAGATGATGCTCTGTTTAAAAGTTTTGCCACGTGAGAATCCATTAATTGTCGAAGTATCAATCTTATGGAGAGCGTTGACCTTGATTCATAGAAAAGATTTAATTAAGGTTGCGTAAAAAGATGTGGGTGGAACTTCCACGTCACTTTTTGAAACTTTTATGCGTATTTCTTTCTTCATTTTCATCTCATGTAATTTATTCAAAAAATATATAAGTGGCGAAGAGACAAAACCAGATGCATGGCATTATATAAATGTTAAATTTTTTACTCAATTTGGTAATATAGCTAATTCAACCCTTTTTGTGAATCTGTGCAAATACAGCTAATTCAACCTAAAAAAAAATCATAGCTGGAGTTGTCTTTTTCAAGTAAACAAAATCGGATTAGATATTTTTCCTAATCGGCATGTGTGACTAAACAAAAGCCTATCACATGAACGTTCTTGCCAACAGTTTTGTTAGATTTGTTTCCCATTTATTTTTTGGTAATACACCCGATTTTATAGATTTGTTTCCCATTTATTTGTTTTAGTTTTCAATTTTTATTTTCCAGAAATTTCTGAGACGCTCCTACACATGGTTGTCTATGGTTGTCTGCTATAGAATCCCCACAATCTCCTCTCTATCTCCATATATCTCTAATCTCTAAACACCTTTCTCTCTGTCTCTCTCTCTCTTTTGAGAAGAAGCTAAGCCTGAGGTTTTTCACTCAATTCTATCACTTTTTTTCTTCTGCATCATTGATTCCTCCACTCATTCTTATTCACGAAAAAATAAATAATTTTCATGGTTTGAGTGAGTCTCCATGATCTACTTTATGTTGATATACTTTATGTTGTTAATATGATGCATGCGAAAATGATCTCCATGATCTTTGTTTGTTTTGACGTTTTCTTATGTGATTCAATGATTGCAGGCGTTTAATGATCCTGCTTGCCTGTCAGATAGTTTTGCTATTTTACATCTGGAGATAATTCGTTCATTAAATTTTCAGAGGCAAAACATCTAACACATGAAGTAATTGACTGCTCATGAAAACATTTTCACCATAACATTTTGTTGTACAAGGCTATCATGCATTGTTCGTATAATCTGTCTGATAGACCTGTCATGGTATATGTTCACTATATATCTCATTCTCTCTTATGCTTGTTTGTATAATCTGTTTTCATGGATTCCTTAAACCTGAATTCAATATCTATTGTTGTTTGCTGAAACTCTTAATTATCGAGTCCATTATAGTTTTTTAAAATATCTAGGTTTTCATGGACTTAACTGTGCCAACCATTTAAGAAAATATTGTGTCAATAAGTCAGTGTTCACCTATATTTATTATTTATAAATAACAGAAATGTGTGAATAAGCTAATTCGTCCATTAATAAGTTGTTAATATATCCTGTTTTTGTTTACTTGGATTAGTTCATTGGGACTTGGTAGTTAGCATGACGGCCAATTTATCGTGTCGTTAAAAATTATTAGGCCACTTAATATCTGACTTTGTACACTTTGGTATTGGTTTTTTGTTGCAGTTTGTGGACTGATTTAATATATATATATATATATATATATATATATATATATATATATACTCCCTCCGTTTCAAATTAGTTGTCGTTTTGGCAAAATGTATCTGCAAATATTTGGACGTATTTAGACGTGTTTTGCATAGCAGATACGTCCAAATAATTGCAGATACATTTTGTCAAAACGACAACTAATTTGAAACAGAGGGAGTATATCTTAATTCATTTTTAACCAGTTATTGTTCTTGTTAATGATTAAACATTAAGTTTTGCTGAGTATTTGGTATCGTGAATTTACATGTTATAAGTATTCGGACAAATTTGCTAATAGATACTTTTTATGTGTATTTTCAGGCACCAAGTGGGCACAATTTCTGTTTCAAGTGTTTTGAGAAATGGACTGTTGGTACGGGCAAGCGTACTTGTCAAGAATGCGCAATTCCTGCAGTAATGGTCAGAAATTTTCGGATCAACTCTGCCCTTGTCTCTGCCATTTGTTTGATTGATTTTTTTTCAAACCTATTCTTATGTTTTTTCAATAGGGTGTTTTAAAGATGTGTCGTTTCCTTTTTGTGAGATGAGAATGAGGCAACTCCATGGACCAGGTTTGATCTAACTTCTTGAGAAAGCTTATTTTAAATATTTAGAGTTTAACGATGTGATATATGCTACAAGGATGAGCATGTAGATCGTACAAGACCTTTGCCTAATACTCCAGAGCTTGAGATGACAATAGACTTGTGTGAGAGAAAGAAAAGTCCATCATGGGATGTTGATGTAAGTTTAGCCTCTCTTTGTTTCCTCTTGTGTGATCAGATTTAAAGTCTTTGTCTCCTTGTTCGTCATATGTAATCTCTTCCACGTGCTTACTTGATCAGGAAGTTATGGATCGTTGGAAATGGATGAAGCCTCCACCTGCTAGCCAAAAGGCAGGGAATGCTTTGGTTCCTATAAGGAGAGGAAGACTCTGAGGAAAACCATAATGGCAACACAAACGAATAATGTGAGAAAAACTTCTGAAAGGTTTGAGTCTCAACCTCTTTCTCAAAAAGGGTTAACCTAATTCACAATGTTTAACACTGATACTCATATTTTTCAGCTAGACTAATGCCCGTGCATACGCGCGGGTTTTTCTGTTAATTTTTTTAAATACTATTGAAAAAAACTATAGATTAATAGCCGGTTAGTACAATTTAGAGTTGTGTGCAAAGCAGATCAATAGTATATCATCAGGAAGTGATAATATCATGTCTGATTGGGGAAATGATGATATCATCAGGATAAAATTATCCGGACATGATATCATCACTTTCTCAATCAGACATGATATCTTCACCTCCTGATGATATACAATTGATCTGCTTTGCACGCAACTCTAGATTGTACTATCCTGCTATGTCTCCCAGCTCCAACAGATTTCAGTCTCTCATTGCTTCCCCTAAGCTTTTTCTCATATAAAATTTTATAAAGTATAAACTGTTCGATCAAAATTATATAAAGCACAAACCGTTTAATCAAAACCAAAACAAAACATGTAAAAATTATTTGCAGGTAGGTGTCATACCATATATAAAGTTACTATGAAATAAAAAAATTCATTTTATGACCCAGAAGCTACGCACAGTTTTATTATCTTTTGTTTTGGTATTTTATACTCCCTCCGTTTCATAATAAGTGTCGTTTTGACTCTTGAGTTACCCAATGTATCTAGATGTATATGGATGTATTAAGAGTCAAAACACATTTATATACATTAATAAATAGTCCAGATTTATTTTGTCAAAACGACACTTATTATGAAACGGAGGGAGTATCTATTATCATGTTAAAGCATATTTTTGTTATGTCATTGAACTCATATGCCGAGAAAAATCCACCGCTATTTGATCAGAAGTATCACATTCTCTTCTCGACTCAAAAATGTCATCAGGAGAGTGTCTGATGTGACAGAAAATCCATTCTACAATTTCTGGCGTTTCAAAGATGTGCTCGATGATGAACTCATTAAAAAATACCCATTAGGTATGCATAACTCTTTGATTTAACATTTACTTTATATACTATACTCTTTATAGTAGTGAATTTAAATTTGTTCAGAATCTAATTTTGCATAAATTGTTGTAGTTGATCTCATGGGTGTTATTGTTAGAGTTGGGTTGGAAAAAACCTTAAAAGATGAGAATGGTGAAAGAATTGAGCCTTACGAAGATAATAAATACATGAAATTCACTATAAGGGACATCAAGTATGTTGAAATTCCATCTGTGTTTTATACTGTCAAAATATTAGACAATTGAAACCTTATCTTCATGACTTCATTGAGTAATAAAGGTTCATTAATGTATTGTAAGTGGTAACGAGTTACATTGCCTAGCGACTGAGAGAGATATTGAGCAGGTCAGAAGGAAGTTGAATAAGCACACAATGTTTTGATCTGACCAGACTTATGTGTCTGAAGATTATGGAAAATTGGTGATTTCAAAGCTAATATTATCGTCCAAATTTATATTGTTTTCGTGTCTTGTGTGTAAACATGCTACATAAAAATAATATTGATCGTTATATACAAAAGATATGTTTTTAGTAAAACAGCTACTACGACTTGGTGTGTTTTTATAAATCTCCATATGACTTTTTTTTTTTGAACAACCAAATCTCCATGTGACATACAATAATTTTTGCCAATATTATTTGATACTGAAAGCTATTGCCTATTTGTGTAGAAAACGTCAGAGTGACAAGTGTTGAAAGAATTTCTGCTATTTTGGAGGATGTTGCTGATGAAGGATTTGAGGAGTTTAAAAGAATGTGATGTTTCACACAAATTATAATTATGAATATGTTGTTTTAAAGGTTTAGTGATGTATATGTCAAACTTGTGAAATTGTTTATCTACATCTCAGGGCCGAGTGTACGGATGTGTGGCATGAAGAAGTCACTGGACACATGAGGACGACTGTCCTTTTGATATCTCTTTTGTAACTAAATCTTTCAAGATCTAAAGTATCATATTGCCTTTATATAGTTGAAACTATAATGGCACTCTTCTTAAGTTTTGGGTTCATAAACTATGTTTTTTTTTTATACTATGACTTTCCCTAGTTCACAAAACTTTCTCAGTTGCTTTTAAACCTATCTTGATCTGCGTTTTTGCTTCTTAGCGTTTATAGGACTTGGCGTTTCCTTGCCTCTTAAGTTAGTAGAGCTGTTTATGATTCAACTTCTTTAGGAAGCAAAAGCTGGATCCGTATTAACAGTAGGTACGATATCTTCAATTTCGCACAAGATTAATAACGTTGCTAGACATAACTATCGAAGCTTTTAATTTGATTCAAAACTCATCAAATTTAATTGCATTTACCCTGTTGATTTTTTTTACTGTACGAACCACAAAAACCCAAGAAGTTGACATATATATGAGATGCAACAGGTATGCATGCTCATATGGTGTGACATATGATATATATGAGATGAGTTTGTGGCATAGTATCAGACTAATGTATATATTTCTTTGACATGATCATCTGAAACCGATATTTCCGTGATTACACTCACTGATTTAAAACATTGTAAAACAACAAAGAAATTTTTGTCTTTGCTCATTCATGATGTACATATGATTTTTGATGTTATGTGCGTGGAGGGTATGCTATGAACTAGACTTCATGTCTCATAAGCACTATATGGCCATGTCGGATCGTCTAATAAAGCGCGTGGTGAACATTGTGATATTTTAAAGATCATATTAGTGAAGTTATTATGGATATTACAAAGTTTTCGTTCGTGATTTTTGGCAAGACCTTTTACCTGTATAGTGTAAAAAAATTATTATATAGGGATTTTCGTTGGTTTGGTGAATCAATTTTTCTCCTTAATTGTCGATTCATATAAGTGGATATGATTGTTTACTCTTTTTTTCCACAATTAAGTTGGGTGAAACCACATACACATCCATCAAGTAGAATCGTTAATTAGCTTCCTTAATCGTTAGCTTCCGTATAACTACAAAAAACCAGTGACTATTGAGTTTAGCTATGCAGGGAAATTTGAGTTCTGCGATCTGAAAAATTCTTCTCATCTTTTCCTACTTCTTTCTTTTCTTCTGTTTCTGTTTTAATCTTTCTTCTTTTTGTTCTTCTTCTCTTACCTTATTTCTTTCAACAGTCATAACATATAAGAAACTTGAATCTGACTACGTTTAATATGATATGGGTGGAACTTCCACGTCACTTTTTGAAACTTTTATGTGTATTTCTTTCTTCATTTCCAAGAGAAAAAACAAGACGCATGGCATTATACAAAGTCAATTATAGTGATATAAAATTAGCAATGTTAGTTGTTTTACTCATTTTGGTATACAGCTAATTCAACCCTTTTTGTGTGTGCAAATACAGCTAATTCAACCTAACAAAAAAGAGAACAAATCATAGCTAGAGTTGTCTTTTCAAGTAAACAAAATCGAATTATTAGATATTTTTCCTAACTAGCATATGTGACTAAACAAAAGCCTACAGTTTTTGCCATTGGTTTTGTTAGATTTATTTCCTATTTATTTTTTGGTAATACATCTGATTTTATGGAATTACAAGATATTATTTATTTTAATTTTAATTTTTTTATTTATTTCAGAAAAATTTTAAGACGCTCCTACACATGGCTATGTGCTATAAAATCCCTACACTCGCCTCTCTATTCTTACATCTCTCTCTCTCTCTCTATCCTTACATCTCTCTCTCTCTAGATCTTCAATTACCTCGCGATGCGACTCCTCCTGAGAGTTGTTCCGGGAATTGTATTCTCCGGAGACATGAACGTCGATGAGCTCCGTTTGAGAGGGTTCCAAAGTTTAGCTAAGTCGGAGTTTGACCCGATTTTGCTGGATTATGGTTCCGATCCTATTTGGATTGCTCGATTCCTCTCAATTTTTACACTTTGTTCTGCATAATTTATTCCTCGAATTATTCTTATTCAACTCAACTCAACCTTGTAAGCAACTCAACTGTTTCATATACTCTATGTTGTTATGATGCATGCAAAAAATGTATTCAGAGTTGGATTCCCCTTAATATTCGTGTAAAACAATCATCTAAATACCTGTGAGATGACGTGATCTTTGTTTATTTTGACGTTTTCTTATGTGATTCAATGATTGCAGGCGTTTAAAGACCGGGATCGTGCTTGCCTGTCAGATAGTTTTGCTATTTTACACACGTAGTGACTGCTCAGGAGAACATTTTCACCATAACGTTTTGTTCTACATAGCTATCATGCCTTGTTCGTATAATCTTATAGACCTATCACGGTATGTTCACTATATATCTCGTTCTCTCTTATGCTTGTTCTTATAATCTGTATTCATGGATTCTGTAAACCCAAATTCAATATCTATTGTTGTTTGCTGAAACTATTAATTATCGAGTCTATTCTAGTTTTTTTTAATATCTAGGTTTTCATGGACTTAACTGTGATTACCTTTATGAAACCTATATTTATAGAAAACGGAAATGTGTGAATAAGCTAATTTATCCATCAATACGTTGTTAATTTATCCTGTTTCTGTTTACTTGGATTAGTTCATTGGGACTTGGTAGTTATCCTGATGCCCAATTTATCTTGTCCTTCAAAATTGTTAGGCAACTTTATTTGTGCAGATGACTTTGTACACTTTCGTATTGGTTTTTGGTTGGAGTTTGTGGACTGTTTCTTTAAATTTATTTTTTGACAAGTTATTTTTTCTTGTCAAATAACCATTAAGTTTTCCTGATTATTTGATATCGTGAAAATTACATGTTACAAGTATTCTGACAAATTGAAGACAATTAAGCAGAGAGCTGACTGATATCTCGTGTGTGTATTTTCAGGCACCATGTGGGCACAATTGCTGTCTCAAGTGTTTTGGGAAATGGACTGCTGGTCAAGGCAAGCGTACTTGTCCAAAATGAAGTTTATATGTAGACTTCTTCAAACAACA